CATATCTAAATATAAGTTCAAATCCTGATATAAATCCTCATTCAAACATGTACTGTAGCTTCATGGGGATCTTTGAGCAATCCTTGTTTCTGAGCCTAAACTATGTCACTGCATTCTGGGTGGGATAAAATATGGAGCAACCATGCTTGCTTCCCTGATTTTCTTTGAGGAACAGCAGGAAAGGAAGGAAGGAAGGAAGGAAGGAAGGAAAGGAAGGAAGGAAGGAAAGGTAGAAGATTGTGGAGTCCTTGGGGTTCTCTGAGCTTGGTTGTTTTCTTGCAGACGTTTTATTACCCAGCTAGGTAAAATCTTCAGTGCACAAGATCTTACCTAGCCAGGTAATGAAACGTCTGCAAGAAAACAACCAAGTTCAGAGAACCCCAAGGACTCCACAATTCAACCCTGAACTACATACATTCTCTTCTATAGATAGAAGATTCCCTCACATAAATGCTGTGGTTTGAATTTACAATATCATGCAGTGCAAAGCACTACAAAGTTCAGCATACTTCTGTATATAGATGCAGATTACATTAAAATACATCCATATGCTGCTGAGAATGAACGGGAAGAAGCAGGCAGGCGTCTCTCTCGATCACAGAGCTGTTTTTCAGCTGTCACAGTGGTGTTACCTTCTGAACTATTTATAGAGCATTTGCCACCCACCCTGCAGACAGCTGCTGCTTTGCAGACTTAACATTCCTCTCTTACTTAAGGCAAGCCAAACTAAGTCAGTCCTTTGTGCAATGAAAGCAGCTTCTGCACAAGGGAAAGTGGCTGTCATGAAAGCCGGTGAAGTGCATCTCCCCAAAGGCAGAGCGCTGGGCACATTGGAGTGACTTCTTCTGCATGGCACAGTTTCCACTCTCGTTCCATAGTGACACCTGCCCCCCAACTCCCACATACTACTTTGAAGCCAACCTTCATTGTCTTCCTTTCTGGTGACTTCAAACACGCAGAGAGTAAGAAGGGAGCATGAGCCAATCCAGAAGGATTTTTAAAATGTCATTATCTCCTGAGCTAAAGAAAGGCAAACCAAACATCAAACTCACCCATCCCATTCCATACAAAAGAAAATGAAAATAAGTGCCCCGATCACATTTTTAGTATGTCTTGTGTGCAGTTATCAATCAGACGGCTGGCAAATAAATAGTTGGGGGAGGGCTTGGGAATCACCCTTCTGTAATGAAACCATGTGTTCTGCTTCTAATTATGAAAGGTCATTAGCTGTGATGCAGGAAGGACCATATTGCAAAGTATTTTTGCAAATGGACAGTAGCTCTGATTGCGACGGCAATGTAGAGCTCAGTATCTATGTTTGTGTGTTGGGAAGAGCAATGGCACCTTAAGCCCAGAATCTGGGAGGCAGGGGAGGCATGCTGGGGTATAAATGGAGGAAATCAAGCAGCGCTTAATTTTCAGTGCTCTAATGGCCAAGCTCTGATCTGCCACAGTAACCAGGATTGCAAGTGGTCTTGTCCTAACTGCTTTATGGTGGCATAGTTTAAGGGCAGCAACTGGTGGGTTTCCATAGCTTTATTTCTCCTCCCACCAAGTTGTCACCTGCTGAGCAAAAACAAAAAAACAAAACCAAAACCCTACTAGTCACTCTCAACATGTGATGGGACAGCTTGCATGATCGTAGGTGGGAGCCTGAAACACAGGCTGTAGCCAGCTTTCAAATTACCAGAGTAGCAGGTTGATAGTCCATGAGTCCTCCACACTGCCAATGTGTATCTCAGGCTATTTTACCACACAACTCTACCCAACTTCTGAAAGACTAGTAAAAATAGGCTACCTGAACGTTTGGTGGGGTAGAGATGTGGGGTGAAGTACAAGGGAGCTTGCGTGGCACACCAAGGGAACTCCTTCCTGCTCCCTCCTGGGGCCTTCTTCTAATCCTGTCATACAAGTTATTCTTGGACACAGTTTTATCAGTCTTCCAGAGATTTGGTAAATCCATGTCAGAAAAAGCCCAAGTAACAGGTCACAGACATGGTGGAGGTGTTACAAGGAGCATCTATGGTGATCCCATCTGCTTCATACCACACTCTTCCACATGAGCCAATTTCATAATGATGGACAGATCTGGAATAGAAACCATTTGGAGGGACCAAGAGATCAAGATCCTAAATAAGCTCTGCCTTGTGTTCTACAGAAACCTTGCCTCAGAAGTAGATCCACCATTTTAGGCAGGCTTCCGCCAATCAGGTGCTCTATAAAGGAATTCTAGGAGTTGAAGTTGCAGGTCATCAGGTAGGGGGAGGCTGCTTCAAAGTGGTGGGAGCCATGCAACAAGCGTGCTCATGGCCATCTCAATTCATTGTAATGGGACCGTGTACTGGAAGTCATTTAGGCGGTTGGAGTCCCCATGAGTCATGGCTGTCTCTTCCATCCCTAACATGATCTGATTCACTAGGACTGCTTTCTCTTATGGCAGCTTTCCCTGCAGCTATGTGTACACATTAACTGGCAGGAGCAGAGCAATGTGTGCTCATGCCTTTTTTTGAGGCACCCAAATATATCTAATTATCTTTACACTGATAAGCTACAGAAGTAGAGCATCACTGATCTTCTGGATCTGGTGCAGGAGAGAAGGGAAGCATGATTTTGCATTGGTCAGTAATTCAATGGCCTCTGAAAGCTTGCACCGCAACCCTTGCCTCACAACAAGAATGTCATGTCAAGGGGAAACCAACCTGGTCCCATCCATCAGCCAAAGGAGAAGCAGCTGCAGCAGAGCTTGCGTCTTATACCTTGCCAGCAAGAACACTCTGCTGGAACAGTTGTGAGTCGATCTCTGATCATAAGAGCAGGAAGGAAAGCACATTCTGGCTTATCTACTGACTGGGTGCTAAGGGCTGTTGTGTTGTATTGTGACAACATTGCATAAGCTGTTTTGAGGATAGTTTTATTAAAAGCCAAAATATACATTTTCAAAATAAATAAGAGGCCGTATTTTTGACTGTGTAAGTGCTACTTGGAATCAGTTTTCACCATGTGCTTGCTTGAAACGGTTCTACACTATCCTTCAGTTTTTAACTTCCAGGTTACTCAAATAATGCTACATATCATAAGCAAATAACTGTAGCTCACCCACACAAATGATTTGTTAAGAAAAATGTAAGAGGGAGGAGGAAGAGGTCTGGCAAGATGATAATACTAGGACAATAGCATTTATTTATTTATTTATTTATTTATTTAATAATAAAGCATTAGCTATTAGACAGTAGCATTAACTGGGACTTTCAGAGCTGATACAAATTTGACAGGTAGATAATGTTTGTGGAGCTCTCTGTAGACACAATATAATATGTAAAGGTTGAATATGTTTAGGGATGCCGTATCTGGGCTGAAAAAAATCTGTGCAACCACAAGATGACAGTGACAAGATTTAGAAAACTAACTCACTGCTGTCATTCTGGTAGCTTCCCAGATTTTATAGCCCCAATATGATAGTCCTGATTACTATTGTTGTAAGCCCTATCAGGAAACCCTCTTCAAGGAAGGAATTATGGAACTTGACTCCAATAGAAATCGGTGGGGAGAAAGAGTGGCTGGTGGGGAACCAAAAGTACTACTCTCTACATTGTTTTCAGCCTACTAACCCCTATATTTCTTGAATCTCAGCAATGGGAACAACTTGGGGAGGGAGGATAATTTAACAAGAGCTATAAAGAAGGATGAAATCCAGGGTGGGCCTTTTTGGTTACATGATTCTGGGATACAGATGTGGACCCCCAACTCTGTTGATGGAGCTGTTACTAAGAACTCTTCTCATCTTCTTCTGATAAACCTCCTGTGTTTGTTTGTTGTGACTCTTTTCTTCTAAGGAGGGAAAGTAGAGAAGGACCAATAGTGCTAGGCAGGGCCAACTGGGTTTTGGGGGAGCTGGAAGGTCATTTGACTTAGATCTCATGCTGAAAGGGAACCACAAAGTTAGAAACTTCCTTTAAAAAGTTATAAAACTATTAAAAGCATATCTTGTCGTATGTGCTTCCCCCTTTTAGTGTCATTTCATCATTTTAATTTTGGCCAGTGATCTCAAAAGCTTGAGGAGATCCAGTTTTTGGAGAAGGCCTGAAGTTAGGACAACTCTGTCTTAGGACTACCAGATCTAGGATGCAAGGTTCCAGGTGACCATTAGATGGCAGAAAGAGGTGCGGAAAACAACTCTTTCTTGTCCTCTAATGAACTTTGGGATGTTTGCAGACCAGTTTTCATAGCCCTACTCCTTTTGGAAGCTCATGTATTTCTTTCCCCAAACCAAACCTCATCTCCCCCTTGCACCTTCACAGGGCCAAAATATTACACAGGATGGGTGAGAGCTAAGCTGCACATTATTATAATTTTCTATATTTCCCTTGGTAGGGGGTAGCACAGTCAACACTGGATGATCTCAAAGAGCTAAGCAGGGTCAGACCTGGCTTTTACTTGGATGGTAAAACCTCCAGAAAATTGCAGGGCTCTAGGCTAGACTGGGAAGTCAGAACAACATCTGGAAGAAAGCTATGGCAAACTACTTCCATACTGTGACAAGAAAACTACATGGAAGTGTCCATGGTGTTGTCATGAATTGAGCTCTTTATTCACATTTCCTATGTTTGATGTTTGTTGCGCTCCAGAAAATAAAGGGACCCTGCTGGTTTAATAGGGGCAGAAGTAGAGGCTAAGGAAATCAGATTCTGGGTTCCCACTGTCATTCTTGGTCGCCAGGTCCCTGCCTCTCCATCATCACCATGTCCAGCTCCCAGCAACGCCTCATGCAGGGCATGCACCAAGACCTCAGCTGCCCCATCTGTCTCAAGCTCTTCCAGTCCCCCGTGACAACAGAGTGTGGGCACACCTTCTGCCAGGCCTGCTTGTCCCGGGTGGCCACTGAAGAGGATGGGGGCAAGGCTGCTCCCTCATGTCCCACCTGCCAGGCCCTCACCAAGGTGGAGCAACTGCGGATCAACCAGCAGATGGAGCATTTGGTGGAGTCCTTCCGGCAGGTGCCCCGTGATCACTGTGAAGAACACCTCGACCCACTCAGTGTCTACTGTGAACAGGACCGGCAGGTGATCTGTGGGGTTTGTGCTTCACTAGGCAAGCACAAGGGGCACAACATCATTACTGCTGCTGAGGCCCACCAGAGGATGAAGGTAAGGGGTTGAGATATAACAAAGCCCTAGGAGCTTGGCATCTCTGCTTGCCCTGTATCAGCCCAACAGGCACCCCTGACTTGTATTAAGTCAGGCCATTGGTCAACAAAGCAAGAACTACAGTGGGATTGCAGGCAAGGATCTTCCCAGCCCGAGAAATGCCATGGTTTGAACCTAGCGCCATTCCTGCAAAACATATTCTCTCCCTCTGGGCTAAGGTCTTTGTCCTGAAGTATGGATGGGCATGTTATTTATTGACTCTACCAAACTATGACATTTTATGGAAATTTATGGGAAGATGAGTTAGCTGCACTGGCTGCTAATAAGTTTCCAGTGCATCTAAGGTGTCAGTTGTCACATATGCAGCCCTGTATGTTACTGTATGTGGCCAGGCTATTTCAGGAACCACCTCTCTCCAATCGTCTCTTACCTGCCCCATTAGATCTGGCAAGAGGAGTATGTTCTGGGTCCCATCAATTAAAGAACGCCATCCAGAGGAACCCAGGAAGCGGGCTTTTTCAGTCATCGTGCCTACTGTAGTGGATAACGAGGATGGCCTCGAAGGACAGAGGGAAGTTCTGCCACCAAGGCAACAATCAGATATACAAAACTTGAGCCCAGTTCCAGAAAATGGTTTGCAAAAACAAGGGAGGAAAGGAAGGACATTCAGACTTGAAATATTCTGTTACTATAGCTGTTCTAATAAAAGTAGGTTTCGGTTTCCACGTTATCTGTTTCTTAGTCTGGTCTACCTGATGGGGCTGACACCTATCCTTTGGAACCCCTTCCCTCCCAAGATCAGATGGGCCCCTGCCAAACCTTGCCTGCCTTCCAAAAAGCTCTTAAGACCTGGCTGTTCACCAGGCACAGAGGTCGGGAACTTAGTAGAGCTGGTGTGGTTTATCATTGTTTTGGAGGTATTACCCTCAGTGGCCATTTTTTCATTTTGATTACGAGTGGTTGGTTTTGTTACTGTTATTTAAACCATTGTTTTAAACTTGTTTGCTGCTCTGAGTCACCTTGGCAAGATGGGCAGCCATATAAATATGAATGAATGAATGAATGAATGAATGAATGAATGAATGAAGCTACTGTCCCCCTGAGCCTTTAGGGTAGAACAGGGGATTTCCAATCCCACTGAATATTTGCTTCAGATCACATGCCAAATGAAGTATATTCTCTCCTGCTCTTGCTCTGAGAGATTTCTGTGTTTTGTCCCTCCTTCCCCACCACTTGGCATAATTGCAGAAACAGCTTCCTCAGCAGCAGGTCCAGCTCCAGGAAGCCCAAGTGCGCAAGGAGAAGACGATTGCCCTGCTGAATCGGCAAATAGCAGAAGTGGAGGTACGAGTCTTGGCTGTCTGTGTGGGAGAGACTCAGGTGGGTGGGTAGGTAGACAGACTATAACAAGCTCATGGTGGTTTATAACATATAAGATCTATAAAAGTACAACATTAAAACATTGGCTCACCAATTGCATTGCTCCATGGTAAGTAGGCATACACCTACCTTGTGTGTGTGTGTGTGTGTGTGTGTATTTATACATACATACAAACATCACACATAAACATACACAGAGTATTTCACACAGGTATTCTACAAACTAATATTTACCAGTTTGATACATGTGTATGTGTGTGTGTTCGCGTGCGTGTCTCACACACATATGCACATGCACAGAAAGTATTTCACACATATGCTCTGCAAGCTTACCATGTTTACCAGATTAATTGCACTTTTCTTAATATTATTTAGGAACTCTAGTTCAGTATAAACCGCAACAGTCCTGTATTTCCCAGAATTCTTGGTAAGAAGAAATTACTATAAAACCAAATTAAATCTGTATCATAGACATGCCCTATAGGAGGATGAATGCATGTTTTAGAAAGACTGATTATAGATAAAATCCTGTGAAACATTTTTCATCATGCATTGGGCCCCAGAAAAATCTATTCAATGTTTTGAAGGGTATTCAATATTGATTGCTAACTTGAAAATTAAAAAATTAAGAGTTGTTAAGGATACTTACATTTTCAGGGCTCTTGCTTGTCCTGAGGAAACAGTTTCTCTAAAGATTTCAGTCTTGCGGTGGGATGGGGAAATTATTAGCTATCCACCATAAAGCTAGAAATACAAAAGCGACTGTGCTGCTATAAAGGATAAATACAATACTGAGGACAAGGGAAAGTAACATAAAATGGGGGAGCTTTTGGTGGAAACGAGATGCCGGGGACCAGGAACAAGCTGTCCAGACAAGACCCCAGAACCATTCTCTCTTGTCTTTCCCTTGTATTGCTAGGAAACAGTATCCCGGTTCAAACGCCAAGTATCAGAGCAGCTGGGGATAATGCGGTCCTACCTGGGAGCCCTGGAGTCTTCTCTGGGCCAGGAGGCTGAGCGGGTGGAACACCAGGCCACAGAGGCCTTGCAAAACGAGCGCAAGACCGTGACCCGTTACCTCGACCAGCTCAGGCAGATGGAGACAGTGCTGGGGGAAGTGCAAGACGAACCACAGACCGAGTTTCTGAGGGTGAGGCACCTCCATCTCTATCTTTTTGATCCTCCCCAGTCTTGGTGAAATTAAAAACCAAGTCAAAGCCTATTATGCTTCTGCATTGTATGTTCAACCTTATCCGATGTGCATACCTAGTGTATTTCCTACTGTTATCAGAGGTACTTAAGACTAATTCCAACTCAAGTTTTGTACGTCTGGTATTCTCTTTGTCCACTTCCATTTGATCCATTCAGTCTAAAGAGGTATTTCTTTATAACATCCACAGTTCTTTCAGTTTTATATTATTTGCAAACTGGAAGAACAATATTTCAATTTTTTTTAATGTCTAACCATGCTGGTAGGAATTCTGGAAGTTGTAACTCAGCAATCTGGAGGGCACCAGTTGTCAAAATCTGCTCTGTGATGGAAAACTACCTGAACTTTGCTAACTTTTGCTTTCTTTTTTCCTCCACAGAAATACTGTCTAGTTGCCAGCAGGTGAGCAACTGCCCATTTAAAACAACCAACCAGCCAACCCTCTTCTCTGAATTGTGAACATCTGGGTACCTCCTTACCAGAGCCACCTTCTTATGTGCAAACCAGAAGTGTCCACAGGAGGAAAAGAGGGGCAAATGATGACATGTGTGTGACAATATGACACAAATGATGCTGCCTATGTAGTTGCATTGGACATTAGGATGGTGTATACAATTTCATCATTTGTGCAGTGAAGACATGACACGTCATCATTCTGACACCATTGTAACTTGTTGAGGATGCTGCTGATGCAACCTGTAGCTCACTTGAATTTTTCTAAATTTTCTAAGTGCCCCTTGAACACTTAATCCCTATATAGTCCAGAAACTTCAGTAACAGAGCCTTACTATAATATCAACAATTAACTAGGTGTGACTGTGTATGAGAAAAACAAGAGAACGATGCTTTGAATTAGGTCACCTTCCTCTGTTCACTAAAAACCCCCAACCCCTTAATGTTAAACTAAATAAATGAAGAGGTTTTCATATGTTTTATTCTCCTTAATTTGATACCTGATCTAGAGTTTGGTTTGTATTATAATTGTTTTATTTGACTTTCATTATTTTGCTGTGACACATGGGATTAGCTAGTCAGCCTAGTAAGTTTTCCTTTGGGATATTCCATTATATTTCTCACTTTCCCATCCAGCTTTCATTCCATTTCCCTGGAGCCCATTCAGTTTTCATCTGGCTGTCCTTGGTTCTGTCTCTGCACTTTTCCATTTCACCGATTCTTCTCTAACTACTAATTGTACTACTGCAAACATTTTGTTTCTCTAGCTTTGCCGATGTCTTGTAAACAGGCCTTCCCATTCTAGCTTTGTAGGGAGCAGCACTTGGAGAATGATTTCCTTATGACCATCATCCAATCTTTCCCTACCTCATCCTGTTCTCTCCAGATATGTTGGATTATAACTGCCGCAATTCCCAGAGAACATGGGAATTGTCTTCCAACGTATATTGAAGGCTCTTTGTTTGGGAATCTTGTTTCAATATTTGAAACAGAAATCTAAAACAAAAGTAGGAGGAAATCCTCAATTTTTTTCAACTGTGATAATGCGTCTTCTCCCCTCCTTTCCTTCTCACTGTAGACTGCAGAAGATCCTGGGGGAGTCTCCACCCATTGCCCGCATGGACATCCAGCTCCCCATAATTTCTGATGAGTTTAAGTTCCAAGTGTGGAGGAAAATGTACCGTGCACTAATGCCAGGTAGAGACCACAGCTTGCAGGAAAAGGCTGTGTGTGTGTGTGTGTTTTTAAGAAATCAGCCTTTTATATCCTTTTCAATTCAAAAGTTGATGTAGGAGCTCCAGTGTACCTCACTTCAGTCTATATATTGCCATTACAGTGGTACCTCTACTTACGAACTTAATCCGTTCCGTGACTTTGATCGCAAGTCGAGTTGGTCACAAGTCGAGGTAAATTTTCCCATAAGGTTCAATGTAAATACGGTTAATCCATTCCGCCCTCCAAATTTGGTCGCACCCCGAAGCAAATTTTCCCATAAGGTTCAATGTAAATACGGTTAATCCATTCCGCCCTCCAAATTTGGTCGCACCCCGAAGCAAATTTTCCCATAAGGTTCAATGTAA